GACATGAGAACTTGGTGTTGCGTGGATATTGCGAACTGATTTGGGAAGAGATTGCTCGAGCCCAGGGCAGCCAGCCAAAATTTTGACCAATACCGTGGCCATAACATGTATCGTGGTTATATATTATCCAATCACGTATTATTGTATTTGGAATTGCAAAATGTTGCAATATTTCTTGGGGACCAATTATATGACTGCAATATATCTCAGGAAACCAATATTTCTTGGGGTGCAGTAAAATAATTGCAATAATTCTCGGGAAGCCAATAATTATTGCAATAAGTCTTGATTGGACATTAAATAACTTTATTGCCCAATCACAATAAAATAAAATACTTATTGCAATATATTTAAATTATTGTTTTCACAATGTATTTTTGACAATCACTGGCAACAAGCCCACTGCTGCCAGGCCTCCTGCGCTGACCGTGCCGTTGGATTTGCCTTCTGGGCAATGAACTCGTCCATCGAGCGCTGCTTCCTTCTTCGCTCTTGCAGATGCTTGTTGTACGACCGTGTGCTGCTGCAAGTTCTTGGCTAACACTTGACCTAGGTCATCAACGGTAAACGGAAGGCCACCTTGCACAGTACTATCCCCCTGCCAAGCCATTTGCGTTTCGCCGCTGCCGGAACGCAGCAGGCTTCTTGGGTCAATGTCATTGCTGATGCACTGTGTGATGAGATACTCACAACGGGTCTTGGTATAAGCCCAACGACACCACGCCATGAGCTCTCGGAAATTGAATCGACGCTCCTTCGACACGAACACACGGTATAACGAACTACCCCGGCGCAAGCTGTGCAGTGATATTCCGATTGGTAGGTCAGGGGTCCTTTCAACGATGTCACCCAAGGTCTTCCGCACGACCACTTGGTCAAGACTCCGGCTCCAGTCTACCTTCGGAACCCCGGGTCTCTGCAACACGTAGCTCAGAAACACAAATGTATTCGTCTCCATGTTCACACACGAGCTCCGAAGCTTAGTGATGTATGTACTCTTCGAAGAACACACACACACGCAGGCAATTGAAGGATGCCACATCGACCAGATGGTACACTTGGGAATCTCTTCTACGGTTGCCTTTTTGTGCCAGCGCAGCCTTACGGCAAGGTATCGGCCTTTTTGTCCGTGACAAGCTGAACGTCATTCCAGCGCAGGGCAAGGACTTCGCCCATTCGGAAGCAGCCAAGGTAGCCAACGGCCAGCAGAAGACGGTACATTGCGCCAACAAATGGGTGCAGGCCGGCAAGTCCGTTCATGAGCGTTGATAATTCGTACAATGATAAAGTGTGGGCCTTCTTTTCCTCATCGACGTTGTTCTGTTTGTTGTACTTCTGTAGGCCAACGATATACCGACGCGTGGTTGAGTCCTGCGCTGGGCTGGGATTCACGCCAAGTGCAGTGAAGAAAGCCACAAGCGCTGACTTCGCCAGGTCTATGGTTCGAGCTATTTTCCCTTGGGAGTACAAGAAGTGAAAGAAATCGGGAAACTTCTCGATACCTGCCGCGCCGGCACTCATGCCGCCCTTGTGCATGCTTAGGTAAGCTTCGAACTGCTTTTGGTACGTTGTGTAGGCGCGTCGAGTAGATGCGCCATGGAATGACTCTTCAATGGTTTTCTTCGACGGCACCGCCGCTGTATTCTTCGGCGGCATGTTGGGCAGTGGTGTCGAAACTGACATGAGATGCATTTAGACCAATCCTATTCTGTTATTGCTCAATGTACAAGTTATGTTGGCAAACGACACATTCATCGACCAATCCGTTATTTCTAAAAGTTGTCTTCCACTCATAAATAGTTTTCATGTCGGTCACCCAATCTCCTCGTGAGAATTTGTGGGTTAGATGTAGGATGCCATGTACTGTACATGTCGCAATAATAATACAAAAGAATGTTTATGTCATGCAAACCGTCCTACTTTGGAAAATTTAACACTACAATAACATTACAAACAATAGGAATTAGATCTCACGCCGTAGAGTTGCCGCAAAGGCAATTTATCTTCAATTTAGGGCGTATGAATTGTTTTGACTGGGTCCTCGAAAATTACTGGTTATTTTCAAAAGACCCGCTAAACCGCGTCTTTCAAACCAACGTCGAGCCATGGCGTACACCAGATACACCAATGCCCAGCGCAAGAGGTACATCGAGGGATTTGATGTAAGCACGATGTCATCAAGAGGATACGCCAAGGCAATACATCGACTGGACAACTTAGCGCAGCTGGTTGAGCCGAAAGGACACCATTATGAACAAACCATGCAACGCAAAAAAATACACGCTGGGCGGCCAAGGTCGCTATGATATCCTACCATTTTCATCTAAACTTCTGGAGTATTTGGATACTGTCCTCGAAGAGGAGCACTACCTGACACATGGTCACCTGATCACGTTCATGATGAAACACCACATGGATTGCCTTGAAGAATGCTTGACTACGAAGAAATCCGAAAGTCGAGCTTACCACAGCCTGCTTCGACTGTGCCAACGATTCTCAGCCCGCTACCAGTTTTCGCAGCAAGTACCGTGCTTCACAAAAGTCCTCAAGCGATTCTTGCCGAGACCAAGGCAAAATTTGCTGCTGCATTTTGGGACAACTTTCGTGGCACTGTGCCACGTAACATTATCAACGTGGACGAAACATCTGTTTGCTACGACATGTCCCCGACAAAGACTCTTGCAAACGTTGGAGGATCGTCCAAGTTTGACAAGAGCCAAAAGCATTCCGACTGGATTACAGCCGTCCTCTCCGTGCGCTCCATTGGTAAAAAGCTACCAATTCTGTTCATCCTCAAGGGCAAGCCAGGTGGGGCGATCGATACCTTGGAAGTGCCGACATTTCTACCTGGTCATGTTTACGTCGTGCAAGAGAAAGCGTGGATGGATACAAGAGTCTGGGAACTGTATGTCAGCTGCTCAAGTTCGAAATTGATGGGCCTTCTGTGACTTTGGCTGACAATCTTGACTGTCATGTGTCTGTGGCGTCGCATGATATAATGTCGTCTGTATTGCTTAGCGATTTGGAAATATTGCCCAAGTATTCGACAAGTGTTATTCAACCTTTGGATGTTGGTGTCATGGGGCCATTGAAGAGCAAGCTTCGTTACAAGTGGCTTCACGAAAAGCCGTTTGTGCCTGCAGCTGAAAAACGCATGGCTATGGTTAAGCGAACTTTTGAAGCCTGGGAGGACATGTCATATGAAACCATTAATCGCTCATTTGAAAATGCGCTGCCACGGATTTTCTACTAAACATCGTGGATATTGCACTTCAATTCTCGTCGAGTGTAATATTACCTCCTATACACATTTCAAGATATTTCTCTAGTTCGGGGGTAATTTTTCCGCCGCTCACTGTAGATGCCGCATTTCTAGAAGGACGTTGGGGTTCAGAGAAGTATTTCAAGAGACATACAATGGTCGTCAGAATGGTTCGCCACTCGAATATTCTTCGGCTTCAACTTTGTTTTTGTCCAATAATAATCGATATCCAGAATACAGAGACTTCATTGGCTGATGATATTATTTTCCCGCCCGCGCGCAATAATTTAAACTCCACCTCACATTTCATTTGCATCCCTATCATCCCATAACCTGTGATAAAATTGCTTCAGCTCTGTTGCGATGAATAAA